TATACTGATTTTTTATTGAACTTCTTAATAAAGCCTAAAGAGGTTGACACTCCAGTCAATGAAACGTTGCTGTGTATAAAAAATACGCAGTGTGTGTGTTTTTTATTTTCAAAGTTTGCCCCAAAAGATCAACTCAAAAGAATTATTAATTCATGTTCTTCTTACTACTTTGGCCGAAAATTTGTAGTTCATTAGCCATAGGGTTGCCACCTCGAAGTATCATGAAATCGGGAGATATATATACAAAGTATCATGAAGTCATGTGATAGATTTGTAGAGGTGATTTATATATATATCATAACAGTGAGTAAGCTAAGCTTATGCGAATATATAGATGTGCAGCCTAAGGGTGCAGTCCCATCCCCATGGTACGTATTAGAGCTCCGCAATTGATTCTGTGCGATAGAAAGAGCCAATCAGAGCTATCGCGAACTTTTCCATTTTGCTCTCATTGGTTGTTGATTGGTTGTCCCGCACCCGAACGAAACTAATACGTCGCTTTGACACTTAACACTCGAATAAGTGCATGTGTCAATTTAAAAAAAAAAAAAAGGAAATAAATTGTAAGTATCAATTTTTTTTTTTTTTAATACATCTATTTACAAAAGCCAAAAAGTCAGGAGTTTAAAATTAAAATCGGGAGTCGGGAGAAATAATAGGATTTCGGGAGTCTCCCGCTGAAATCGGGAGAGGTGGTAACCCTAGTATGTGTTTGTACATGCGTGTGTGTGTTAGGTATACTTTCAGACAACTATCCAGTACTTATTGATTGAGGAGCTTAATATACATGTTCAGTAGACTGCCAACACTTTCCTTGCTTAATATGACTGTATTCTTTACTTATGAAAGGTATTAACTTCAAGTGTTGTCAGTTCCTTAATTATATCACAGTGCCTATCCTGTTACTTCAATATAGTTTTTTTATCACAAAACAGTAAGGCATACTTCATTAAAATAACATCCAAATGTTGGCGGTTTGAATCATTCCAATAAAAATCACCCAAAGCACCTTAATAGCACTATAACATTTATATTCTTATATGTGTGATTTACAATTTAAATCACATCTAAACCGTCCTTAAATCGTATTTGAACAGTAATTTAATCAGTATTTAATTTTAATGCATAGTAAATCGGNTCGAAATTTACTACATTGCAAGTTACCGAAAGAGATTACATGCATTACACGACAAATTTATAGTCATACCCGAGTTGGATGCGTGCTCTTTATAGAAGTTTTGTCGCAGTTCAAAAAAATGAATAAGCACAGCGTAGGTAAGTACCTACTTATTAGTTATGCACTTTTGCACTGTTGCTCACGCTCTCTTTATCTCTTTTTCAAATAAGAAGAAGTAGAGAGCAGGAAGTTTTTTCTCCCAACCTCTCTACGCGATATAGATGTCGCGTCGATAGGGAAGGAACATTGGCTTTCGTTCCTATACATCACTGCAGCTGAAACTTTAACTTTCGGGCGAAGTAGAAAATACATTTTTAATCATAGGCGAGATCGGTGTAAAATGAATGAACTCACTACTCTTTTTTTAGTATTATTATATTATTTTAAATTAGGGGTAATACTACCAAATCCTTTTATTTAATGCTGTAATACGTTAGTCGACAGGAATCTTGAAACGTGATCTCAATCGTAAGGTTTGTGATTAGTTTTACGTGTGATAAGTAACTGAAATTTTGTTTTTTGCACTGTACTACAAACTCTTATCGTATTAGAGCAGTCGTACTCTCGCTCTATGTAAGGATTGTGAAGAAAAATTAAAGAAAATAGTATATTACGTACCTAGGACAGAAAGTGAGGCAATTACTTACCACGCACAAGATCTGTGGTAATGTGTGGTCAATAGTAGCCCCAATTTTTAGCCGTGGTACGTATACTTTTTTTCCTTACACCTCTGCTGAAAGTTTGACACAAAAATTCATATGATTTTTACTCCTCGTTGAAGTAATATTAATGATTATTGTAACCTCTACCTCTGCACTGTACGCAGCGGCCATGCTCCTGTGACAGTCAATAATTTTATTAAGAAAATAATTAATGCTGATGTTTCTTATTCATTCATGGAAATACAAGGAAAAAAAAACTATAGCAGAAACTATCGATTATCTCGTGGTGTCAAAATAATAGTGTCTGATCATGGCATTCAATATATTGCATATTTCACTAAAGCGTATTAGTGATGTGGCATCATTTGCCTATTCAATACACAAATGTGAAAAAATATCGTTAAAGAAATGAAATAGTTAACTACTATAACATTGTGATATGACGTCTATTATTGAGATGCAGTTCACTTAAAAGAAATTCAAATAATTTGATAACAAATCTTTGTTTTGCTTATGTTACTTAAAGATATCCAATGATTCTTTGTGTTGCGTAAACTGTAAAAGTTATACGTCTGTTAGCCATATATCAATATAATGTAACGTTTGCTACTGCTGTTGCTGCTGCTGCTGCTGCTGCTGCTCCTTCTGCAGTTCTGCTGCTGTTGCTCCTCGTCACATAATATATAGCTATGAAAAATAATGTTTTAGTGCTTACAAAGAATGAAAGCCAGACATACATGAATAATTCAATAGACAAGAAAGAGAACAAAAAGAAAAAGCTAAAATTTTGTTTGTAGTTAGCTGAATAGTTAAAAAGTTAAAATGAAGATAGAGAATTGTATACAAGAGTTGACACGAAGAAAACTTACAGAAACAAAAACAAGTCCTAAAAATATTGCTGCAAAATACATAAATATGATTGAGTAGGAGCTAATAAAATATCAGTCTGGGGAACAAAAAATTGCAAATGATAGATTAAAAAAAGTAAATACTGCAATTCAAGGTAAGGAAGAAATATGAAAAGCAATAATAGAGAGGCATTTCTAATACTTGGTACAATGAAAAAATAAATAAAAATAACAAAATATTTATATTTATAAGAGCACGCGGTGGCTCAGTCGGCTAGGTCGTGGATTGGCACGCGGGAGACCGTGATTTGATTTCCGGCTAGTGCGACTTATCGGGCAAGTACCTCTGTGATTTTTCACATGTGCTTTTTCACCATGCAATGCTCCTCGAGGAGGGCTTAGGCGACCTCTTCGCAGCAGAATTGCCTAAATTTTCCCCTACTCTCCTCCCAGTAATGGGAAGCCTCCCATCCCTCTTCCCTTCCTTCTCCAAAGTGCTAAGTGCCCATAGTAGTGCCCTTATTAAAAAAAAGGAGCCGGACGTAGAGCACTATAATACATAAAAACAAGATTTTTATATATATA